TAAGAACTTTAATTTTACTAAAAATATTGTAGAAATTAATAAAATGTATAAACAATTTAACATTCAATACATGTTTGATTAATAATTAACTTTAACAATTAAACTAAACCTATTTATTATAATAATTTATTTTTATATTATAACTTCAACTTACAAGCAAACAATCAAACTTTATGTAACAATAATTGTATTTAATGCCGCAATTTGTGTAGTTTAGACAAAATAAAATAATTAAGAATAAATATCATGATAGCTCAATGGGCGCTTCTGAGAGGGGGTTGATATTTGCAATTGCAATTAGAAAATTGCATATTTTCTAATATTTATTGCATATTCCCAATTGCCCACTTGTTTTGCGAAGTATGTTTTAGCTTTTAATATAAACCCAAATTTATTTAGATTGTTTTAGGAGTTATAAAATACCAGCCCGAATACTTTTCACATAAACTACCGTACAAATATGGTCTATTTTGAAATATTTTTAACGTTTTAAAATATTAAGTTTTAGTAAATTTTATATTATTAAAATATTATGATTAATTAATTCAGACATTGTTTTAATGATTTATTTGGAATTTAGAATTATACTTAAAAATTACTATTATAACAATGCAGCATAGTATAAATATTTTATATAAAGTATATAAATTACATACAGTATATAAATTTATATTATCAATAAATGATATGAATTTACTGATTAATTAATCGCCTTTTATTAAATTAAAGTATATTTATATGTCATTTAGAATAACAATATAATAAATATTTAAAGCATTTCAGTTAACTATACTTATTTTTATAATACTGTAATTGTTTATGTATACTAGTAGTGAAATAATTATATTATATATTTATTTATCTAAATTACATAAATATTAATTAATTTTTGTAATATACTTTTAAACAACACAACACATAATAAATATTTGACCACGACTTAAATAATAGATTTGAAAAAATGGCTATAAACAAGACATACAATTCTGTTTCAATATCAAGGTATGTAATATAAATAATTTTACAATAATTATATCAATATTTATAACAGTTTTATACAAATATATTTTTAATTATTACCGAATCAGTGAGTATTTTGGGTTATATTTCAGGTTATTTACATGAACCGTATAATTTCACATAACTTTACCTGTATTACTGTTAATGTGGGCAATTCAAACAATATTACAATGGCAAGTAAAAACGAGGTAATTAATATTGAAATTTAAATAATAATAATCATAATAATAATTTATTAATTTATTTATTATCTATTGTATTAATGTGTTATATTTATTTATGTCAGAAAACAGTTATTACATTATTATTGTTGGGTCAGTCAGGTGTGGGAAAGTCCACATTTATTAACGCATTGGTTAACTATTTATCATTTGAGACAATGGATGCGGCAAATAGTCAGCCCATATGTCTGATACCCGTCAGGTTCTCAGTGACTGACCCAAAGACTTGGGGATTAGTGACCGTAACATTTGGTGAACAAGATTTAAATGAAAACAGCAATGACTCGACTAAATCTGCCACACAATACCCCAAATGTTATAAATTTCAAAACGATAACATTGTGCTCAATATAATCGATACGCCGGGAATTGCGGACACGGATGGCGTGGATAAAGATAATACAAATATGCAAAATATATTAGATTTTATAAGTAATTATAAGGAAATCAATGCCGTTTGCATACTTTTAAAGCCTAACGAAACAAGGGTTGACGTAGTTTTCAAATATTGTTTGTTAGAATTGTTCACTCGTTTGAATAAAAGCGCCGCAAATAATATACTATTCCTATTCACAAACTCCCGGAGCACTCTCTCTATGCCCGGCGAATCCGGTTCCGCATTAATGAGTATTTTGAAAATTTTAAGTAAAAGACCGCCAAATGTTAACATCATTTACAACCGGACGACAACCTATTGTTTCGATTCCGAGTCCTTTCGATATCTCGTGGCTTCGGTTCCGCCAAATAATATACAGTTTGACCCGAATTTAAAACCTGCGTATGTCGAAAGTTGGAACAGGTAAGTGAACTTATTAAATAATTAGATCCTAGTAAACTATTAAATTTCAAATGGCATATAAATAGCCCTACATGAAAATTCTTAAAATTATCACCTTAATAGATCTGTCGATGAATGTCGGCGTTTATTTAATCACATAATGCGAATGCCGGCACACAAAGTGATGGACACCCTATCCCTCAATAATACCAAACAACTCATCGCAATGTTGACCAAACCGTTGGCCGACATCACGAAGAATATCGCGGATAACATAAATCAATGCGAAAAACATACGCTTGATATCAATGACTATAAGGGATCCATTGAAGAGCTGCACAAAAAACTATACATACCATCGGTTGAGATAATATCCGTACCGTTAGACCGGCC